TCCCTCAATCTCCTTCTACTTTGTCCCGTGTCCATAACAATTTTTAATGCTTTTATATCTTCCAATCTTTCAGTCTCTACTGTAGAGTGTAGACAGTTGGTATATGTTAAGTGAAGACATACAATGTCTCTGTTTCATAGCCTGACTTTCTTCACTCAGCAATAGATCTTCCATGTTGGTCCACTTTCTATCAAATGCCAGGGTCTTGTTTTTTTATGGCTGAATAGTATTCCATGGAGTATATATGCCACACTTTCTCAATCCATTCATCTGTTTGTGGACATTTGGGTTGGTTCCATGTTTTAGCAATTGTGAATAATGCAGCAATAAATACAGCAATGCAAGCACTTCACCGACTAAATGTTTTCCTGTCCTTTGGGTACATACCTAGGAGTGGAATTGCTGGATCATATGGTAGTTCTATTTGAAGGTCCTTGATTAACCTTCATGTTGTTCTCCACAGTGGCTGGACTAATTTACATTCCCACCAACAATGTATGAGAATTCCCCTTTCACCACATCCCTACCAGTACTTACCATCTTTTTTTTTTTCTTTTTTATTTTTCTTTAATCTTTGCCATTATGACTGGGGTTAGGTTGTATTTCATTGTGCTTTTGATCTACATCTCCCTTATGATGAAGGATAGCCTTTGTAGGTGACTTGAAGTTTCTCTCTTGCCAGTCTTAGTATCTTGCCTTTGTCTGTGGTTTTGGTCAATCTGGTTATAATGTGTCTTGGAGAAGATCTTCTTGGGTGATTCTATTTGGGGTCCTTTGTATTTATTGGGATTGGATCTTTGAGTGCCTCTCTAGGTTTGGAAAGTTTTCCTGCAGGATTTCCTGGAATAGATTATCAATGCCCTTATGAGGGATACCAATTATTTGGATGTTTGGGTGTTTCGTGGTATCTACCACTTCTCATATATTACCCTCAGTTTTCTTGGCTGTTTTTTCAATATTTTTGATAATTTTTTCTAGGTCAAAGGTTTTGTCTTCTACTTTTGAGATTTGATCTTCTGTACGGTCTAACCTGCTTTAAATACTTTTGAGGGAGTTTTTGATTTCCTGTTTTACACTCTTCATATCTAACAGTTCTGTTTGATTGTTTTTTATGGTGTCCAATTCTTTTTTCATATTGTGGAAGGACTTCCTCATCTCTAGGAGCTCAATAGCTCTTTTCTCTTGCATCTCATAGAGTTTTGTTACCATAAATATTCTGAATTCTTTTTCTGACATTTTAGTAATATCCTCTCATTTTTCCCTACTTGGAAACAAGTTACATTGTTCTCTTGCAGGAGATGTATTAGTTGATTTTCTCATTCTCAAGAAAGACAGAGAGAGACAGAGAAATAGAAAGTGAGAAATCACCCCCCAGGGGATATGGCTACACTGCAATCCCTTCTCCTCCATTCTCCTCTCTGGATTTTGGGCATGCATGCACACTCACCCAGCGTGAGTTTAAGCCACCAGGTCCGGGACTTGAACTGCGGTCAACTACATGGGAATTCAGCGACATAGACATTATGCTAACTGCTGGTCCCATTCTCTCATTCTTGAAGCTCTTCTCCAAATTTTAGTCATTTGGTAATGTATTCACTTTTGAATAATTTGTTGGAGAAGGATTCTGAACTGTGAGCTTGTATGTTTCCCTTGCTGTAAAGTAATTTGGTATTATTTTCTCCCTTCTATTGTGTCCTCTAGTGTGGGAATCATAGGAAGAATTTTGAAATCAGATTCATGAAGGAGAATTTCCCTCTTTACAACCAGTACAGTGAGGGTAAAAGAATTATCTAAAACTCACAACGTTCAGATGTTTAGTTACAATGCACCTAGTCTTCTCTAGGCAGTGGGTAAGGGCTGAGCAATAAAATAGGAAAGTAAGGTAAAAGAAAAAGTATAAAACAGAAATAGGAAGAAAAAGTAAAGAAATAGAAAAAATAGAGAAAATGGGAAGAAAAAGATAAAACAGAAATAGCAAGAAAAAGAAAGAACTAGAATGAAAACAGGAAAAAAAAATGCCATGGAAAATAAAACTGGGTTAAAACAATATGTGGCACACTTGCACACTGCATGAAGGGCCAGGAGAGGCAGACATGGAGGTGCCTGGATTGATTCTGTTCAATATATATTTTTAATTCCAAGAAAAGGAATTTCAGCTTTAATAAGTCAAAATCAAAAAAATGTTAAGAGAAATTTGCTTAAGACGTAAAGCCAGGAAACAGATTAGGAGTCTGTTTAAATACTAAGTACATGGACTTGTCCACAACTCAAGAGAAGACAAAAATCCTTATCTCGGGAAAACAAAGTATAGAAGAAGATCAGTAATGCTTTAGTTAAAAGTCGTAAAATTCTATTTCACCAGTTCAGACTCATGTATTTAATCTATCTTCTGTTGTGGTTTGATCTTTCTGTTTAAATTCTGGAAGATAATGTTCAACTCTGGACTTGTTGACCATTAAGCAGGCCAATTTCTTAGTTATTTTAGAACACTTATTTCTGTGTCTGACTTTAGTTTTCCTGAGATAGCACTCCCTTTAGAACTTCTTGGAGAACTGGTCTGGTATTGGTAAATTCTTTCAGGTTTTGTTTTATCTGAGAATGTTGTCCTCTCTTCCCATATGAAGGATAATCCTGATGGATATAGTATTCTTGGTTGAAAGTGTTTTTCACTCAATACTTTGAGTATATTTTCCTATTTTTTTGTTGCTCACATTGTTTCCTATGAGAGGTCCACTGTTAGCCGGATGGGATATCCTTTGTAGGTAACTTGACGTTTCTCTCTTGCCAATCTTGGTATCTTCTCTTTGTCTTTGTGGTTTTGGTCAATCTGGCTATAATGTGTCTTGGAGACGATTTTCTCTTTTTTTTTTTTTTTTTTTTTTTTGTGGTTTTTTTTTTCTATAGGGCGCGTGCGTTCGCCAGACAGAGACAGAGAGACAGAAAGTGAGAAATCACCCCCCAGGGGGGATAGTCACTCCGCAATCCCTTCTCCTCCATTCTCCTCTCAGGATCTTGGGCATGCACGCACACACACCTGGCGTGAGTTTTAAGCCACCGGGTCCAGGACGTGAACCGCGGTCGACTACGTGGGAGTCCAGCGACATAGTCATTACGCTAACTGCTGGTTCCCCGAGACGATTTTCTTGGGTTGATCTTATTTGGGGTCCTTTGTATTTCTTGGGTCTGGATCTTTGAATGCCTCTCTAGGTTTGGAATGTTTTCTTTCTGTATTTCATGGAATAGATTATCAATGTCCTTATTAGTCTCTTCACCTTCTGGGATATTGATTATCCAGATGTTTGGATGTGGAGTGGTATCTAGTATTTCCCATATATTATTCTCATTTTGGGGGGCTATTTTCTGTCTTTGTGGTGGATTTTACTAGTCCAGCAGTTCTGTCTTCTATATCTGAGATGTGATTTTCTATATGATCTAGTTTGCTTTTAATATAAAGGGAGGTTTTGACTTCTTGTATTATAGCCTTCATCTCCAACAGTTACATCTGATTCTTTTTTATGCTGTGTATTTCCTCTTTTGGCTCTTGCAAGAATTTCCTAACCTCCTGGAACTCGACAGCTCATTTCTTCTGGAGTTATTGTCTCTCTTCTCTTCCACCTCTCTTAGCTTTGTCACTATTAATATTCTAAATTCTTTTTCATTCATTTCGGTGAGTTCCATTGTACTATCTGTGGATGAAGAGGAGTTATTCTCTTCCCTTTGGGGGAGAGGTATTTTCTTGATTTCTCATATTTCTTGTGCTTCTGTGGTGGTTTCTAGTCACCTGATGGGTTATTCATTTTTTTCTTTTTTTTTTTTTTTTGAAAAAGTATTTTTTTATTTTTATACCTTAATAAATTTACATTTAATCACAGGGCATCTTTACAGTGTACAAAATGTTATTTTTCAGCATGGATGCAGTGCATATCAATCAAATCTCATTTTTTTCTAATTTCTAGAAGTACAATCTGAATGATCAGAGAGGCACACAGGAGGTGATCTGCAAACTCTCTCCCATTCCGTTTTTCTCTCTTTGTGTCACAGATTTAGTGGGAATTGAGGAATATGTTGACCTTAATGGTATTCAGATACTTGGGTATGTTTCACTTAGACCTGTCTAGACACTCAGTGCGTGAAGGCAGGGTGACATCTCAGCAGAACATCTTTATTTATTTTATTCCCTGAAAGCACTGTATCTCAGCTCCCATGGAGGACTCCCTACAGGCTCACTTTTAAAAAG